CAATAGGTGTTTAACTTAACATTTGGCAAGCATATCTTATTTTGTGTCTTTGTAAGTCATCAGGAAGCTGTATAGTTTTAGAGGCAAGTTACTTAAACTTTATTGCCCTAGTTTATCTCTCTAGATATGATGAGAACAATATTATAACACTGTAATAACTAAACATTGTAATAAAGTAGTAATACCTACTACTATCACTACTACTACTGATGATGCTAGTACTATACAAGTACTATTAATAACAGCATATCTCCTAAGTTGTTAGGACTAAATTAGGTAACATATGTAAAGTGTTTAGAAAAGAGCCAGGCACAATGTGAGTTTGTTATTGTTATTATCCTGAATACTTCCAACAGTCAGTGAAAATAGAGGGAAAAGCTGGAGGGAAAAGCTAAACAGTTAATATAAGCAAGGATTTAGTAAACTAATTTCTACTGGGAATAACCCATATAAATTTTTCTTTCTTGATGAGCTAATTTGGAAACACATGTTCCTTTCTTTTGATTTAGGGGTTTTCCAAAGTGCTTTTCTGAAAAGTTATGTTAAAAAAAAAAAAAAAAAAAAAACCTCCAAGGCAGACCAAAAAGAAGAAGCAGAGCATTCTAAAATGTACCCCTCCTCACATAACAGGCACAGAGACTCCTGTTTTTCTCCCACAGGATCCATGCGATCCTGCTGTGATGTTTGTTCATTGTAGAAGTTTAGAAAGTTCTGTCTGGGCTATGTGTAGGAATGGAGTTCTCAGGCCATTCTTGGCCCTCTCCTCCACCCAGCCAGGCCTTCCAAAACCTATCTCATAAAACACAGATTTTGAGACTTGGAGAGCCCTTAAGGATCATCTTGTCATGCTCCTTCATTGTGCAGATGGAGAAACAAAGGTCTGGAAAGAGGGAGGGATTTTTATAAGGTTATATAGAAAGCCATTGAGAATATAATTTAGTTGCTCACTACAAACCAGTCTAGTGCTCTTCCACCATATCACCTTGCCTTTTTCAGAAGAGATCTGTTTTCCTGTTGTCATCTAATAACAGTCACACACCCAGGCATTCTTGTAGAACTCAGAGCAGGAAAATAACCACAACATTCTTTCCTATCTCTAGCCCAAACGTGGAGAATTTTTAAAGCATACATTAGTTTTTGACACTGAAGTGTCCACTGGACTTCAGTGTCAAAAACTAATGTATTCTTCATGCAGTTATTATAGCTGGAAAACTTACCTTCACAAATAGCTCAATCTCAGGGTCCACTAGAGTGCTGGGCCTCAGGCCTGACATCTTTGTCTTTATAGCCAGTTGTCAGCCTCCTGCCTCCTGTAAAGTCCACAACACTTTTAGACTCTTTTCTCAATTTTATCCAAAAACTCAAGTAATGTTGGTGCTTTAAGAAGAGAGTCTAGCTTGTAGTGAGCTGAGTCAGACCTGGAGCCAGTCTCTTCTCTCAAGAGGTATCACAGAAAATTCTAGATGCTTAAGTGCAGCTCTTGAATTAGTTTTCCTTCTTCCTCCTGACCTAACATTTGAATCAAGGAGGAGCCAAAGGGGTGTGTATCAACTGGCTGGCTAGAAGGGTGGGGGTGTTTCCAGAGAGGCTTCAATGCTATGAGTCAGCATAGGAGAAACACATGCACACAAACACACATGCAGTGCTGGCTTCTATATATCAAGCAGACCAGATGTTCTCTAGAGCCTCCCTTTGAGTCCTGGGCTCCATGCCCAGAAAAAGGCCTCTTATTGGTGTTCCTGTAACTTGAAAGCACTTCCAGGAAAAGGGCTAGAAATGATTTGGATTTTTATTATTGAAAAGGATGTTTATCCAATGATACTGTCTAAAACCGGGTTAAAAATTGTAATTCATTAAATGTTTCCACACCCAATTCTACTGCTCACACAGCCAGATTTCTGTTCTGGGTTGCAAATTTCACTTCTCTCTACAACCAGAGAATGTTCACTGGGGTGGTTGAGTCTGGGGGCTTGTTTAGTGTGCTCCACCTAGTTCTTTATTTCTTGGAAGCTAGGACTGGAACAGATCACTTCCTTGTTTTGGCGTCTATACCAGGAACCATGATTAGTTCTGTATTTCTGCTTCTCAACCCTGGGAACAGCACCAAAATCAGTCAAATGGATCACTCTGTGTCTGCAATGTTTCTGGCAGCTGTATTTTCTGACTCCAGGGCTGGGAGGGGGACTCCTGGATTAATAAACGTATTTGGTGGGAGGAGTCTCTTCCTGCTTAGAGCCAAACTGAACATAGATCCATCAGCTGGGCACCACTGTAATCCTCTTTCTATAACACTAAGCATTCCCCATGCTCATATGGGCTGTACATACACCTGCCATTGCCATGTGTAAAAATTTACAGGGTAAGAGGCTCTTGAAAAAAACCTAGCCTGCTTCTTACCTGTAGGATCTAGGGAAGGAGTGGCTGATGTAAAGTTGAATATTCTTCTGGATGAGGGAAGGACTTCATGATTTCCCAAATAGTTTGAAAAGTGAGAAGAAAATTGTGCTGGACATCTGCTGAGCCAACCTTAAGGGTGGGTTTAGGACTGGCTATTGGACAGGACCTGGTGTCTGCCTTGTTTAGCTATATTTTTACTCTATTCATCATGCTCTATTCGTTCACTCTAAAGGCAATCAATGAATGCCAACTCTGTGTCAGGACCTTGATCCATTCACTGAGATTGACAGCACGGGAGGACAGCCAGTTTGTGAGGACAAGAATTCAACTTTAAGCATGCTCAGTCTGAGGCCTCCTCACTTTAAGCATGCACAGTCTGTGCCTTTTCCCACTCCCTATATCTAACTGCTACAAAATCTTATCATTTCTACATCCTGAATATTAAAAAAATCCATCCACTTCTCTCTGCTTCTATGGTTACTCCAAATTTCAAGCCAGAAACATTCTTTTTTAATTGATTTAAACATTTTTATTTTAAAAGGCCAAATGGTTGCTTGACCCTTGGCTCTCATGGGAAAACCACAACCCTTACCATCACCACCACCACCACAGCAAAAACAACAAACAGCCTAATGACCTCTGTATGATCCCTAATAAATTGTCAAAGTAAAGAGATAAACGTTCTCTTTTTTTCTTGATGCTCAGAGTTTTAAAATATTGTATTTAGGATAATTTACATGCCATAAAATTCATGTATTTAAAGTGATTTTATAAATTTATTGGGTGGTGCAACCACCATTATAATCTAATTTTAGAACATTTGTGTCACATCAATGGCATCTTTCTTACCCATTTGCAACCAATGTTCATTACAAATCCCAGCATCAGGAAACCACTAATCTACTTTCTGTGCTTATGGATTTGCCTATTCTAGACATTTCATATAAATGTTATGTTCATTTTTGCTTTGCTATAAGGAAATACTTGAGGCTGAGTGATTTATAAAGAAAAGAGGTTTAGTTGGCTCAAGATTCTGCAGGCTGTACAAAAAGCACGGTGCGGTGCTACCATCTGCTCCTGGTGAGAGCCTCAGGAAGCTTCCAATCATGGCAGAAGGCAGAGTGAGAGCAGGCATCTCACATGATGCAAGTAGGAGGAAGAGAGAAAAAGGTGGGGGGACATGCCACATTCTTTTAGATAACCAACTCTTGTATGAATTCAGAGGGAGAACTCACTCATTACTATGAAGGTGGCACCAAGCAACCCATAAGGGACCTGCCCCCATGATGAAAACACCTCCCACCAGGCCCTACCTCCACCATTGGGAAATGCATTTCAACATGAGATTTGCAGGGGACAAACATCCAAACCATATCAATGTAATCATGAAATATGTGGTCTTAGTCACAAAAAGACAAGACCTTTATGATTCCACTTATATGAGGCATCTGAAAGTAGCCAAAATCATAGAAAGTAAAATGGTATTTGCCAGGGGTTGAGGGGAGGAAGAATAGGGAGTACAGTTTCAGTTTTGCAAGATAAGGAGAATTCTAGAGATGGATAGTGGTGATGGTTGCACAACACTACGAATGTCCTTAATGCCACTGAACTCTACACTTAAATATGGTTCAAGATGATACATTTTCTTATGTGTATTTTACATATTTTTAAAAGTAAAGTTTGTAATAAAAAAAGAAATATGTGGCCTTTTGTGTCTAGGTTCTTATTCCTATTGTAACATTTCCAGGGTTCATCCATGTTGCAGCATGATACTTCATTCATTTTCATGACTGACTCATATTCCATTGCATGGATCGACCACATTTTGTTTATGCATTCATCATTTGATGGGTATATGGGTACTTTCCACCTTTTGGCTACTGTGAATAGTACTGCTATAAACATTTGTGTACAAGTTTTTTGTTGAATATCTGTTTTAAGTTCTTTTGGCAAAATACCTAGAAGTGGAATTAGTGAGTCATATGGTAATTCTATGTTTAACTTATTGAGGAATCTCCAAAGTTATTTCACAGCAGCTGTAACATTTTGCATTCCCAACAGTAGTGTATGAGGGTCCTGATCTCTCCACATCGTCACCAAAACTTGTTTGCTATTTGCTTTGTTTGTTTATAATAGCTATTCCAGTGGCTGTGAAGTGGTAGCTTATGGTGGCTTTTTTTTCATTTTAAAATCGGATTTAGAGGATACAAATGCAGATTTCTTTCATGCATATATTGCATAGTGGTGAAGTCTGGGCATTTAAGTGTACCCATCACCCGAATAGTGAACACTGTACCCAATAGGTAATTTTTCAACCTTTGTTAACCTTCCACCCCTCCACCTTTTATAGTCTCCAATATCTATTATTCTACTCTATATGTCCATGTGTACCCATTGTTAAGCTCTCACTTACAAGCGAGAATATGTGATATTTGACTTTCTGTTTCTGAATTATTTTACTTAAGATAATGGACTCCAGCTCCATTCATGTTACTGTAGAACACATGACTTCATTATTATTTATGGCTGCATAGTATTTCATGTATATGTAAAATGTTGATGGGTAGATGTCCAGTAGCAGGATTGCTGGATCAAATGGTCTTTCTATTTTTAGTTCTTTGAGAAGTCTCCATACTGCTTTCCATAAATGTTGTGATAATTTACAGTCCCACTAACAGTGCATAAGCATTACATTTTTCTCCACATTCTCATCAACATCTGTTGTTTTTTCAATTTTTACGTAATAGCCATTCTGACTAGTGTAAGAAAGTATTGTGTATTTTTAATTTGTGTTTCTCTGATAATTAGTGATATTGAGCATCTTTTATATATTTGTTGGCCACTTGTATTTCTTTAAAAAAATACCCATTCACGCTCTTTGCCTACTTTTTTTCCCCCGTTTATTTATTTTATTGCATTTTAGGTTTTGGGGTACATGTGAAGAACATGCAAGATTGTTGCATAGGTACACACATGGCAGTGTGATTTGCTGCCTTCCTCCCCATCACCTACATCTGGCAGCTCTCCCCTTGCTATCTCTCCCCAGCTCCCCACCCCGCACCTTCCCTCCCCTATTTCCCCCCAACGGACTCCAGTGTGTAGTGCTCCCCTCCCTGTGTCCATGTGTTCTCATTGTTCAACACCCGCCTAAGAGTGATAATATGCGGTGTTTGATCTTCTCCTCTTGTGTCAGTTTGCTGAGAATGATGGTTTCCAGGTTCATCCATGTCCCTACAAAGGACACAAACTCATCGTTTTTGATGGCTGCATAATATTCCATGGTGTATATGTGCCACATTTTCCCTGTCCAGTCTATCATCGATGGGCATTTGGGTTGGTTCCAGGTCTTTGCTATTGTAAACAGTGCTGCAATGAACATTTGTGTGCACGTGTCCTTATAGTAGAACGATTTGTAATCCTTTGGATATATACCCAGTAATGGGATTGCTGGGTCAAATGGAATTTCTATTTCTAGCTCCTTGAGAAATCGCCATACTGCCTTCCACAATGGTTGAACTAATTTACACTCCCACCTACAGTGTAAAAGTGTTCCTATTTCTCCACATCTTCTCCAGCATCTGTTGTCTCCAGATTTTTTAATGATCACCATTCTAACTGGCGTGAGATGGTATCTCAATGTAGTTTTGATTTGCATTTCTCTGATGACCAGTGATGATGAGCATTTTTTCATATGTTTGTTGGCCTCATGTATGTCTTCTTTTGTAAAGTATCTGTGCATATCATTTGCCCACTTTTGAATGGGCTTGTTAGTTTTTTTCTCGTAAATCTGTTTTAGTTCTTTGTAAATTCTGGATATCAGCCCTTTGTCAGATGGGTAGACTGCAAAAATTTTTTCCCGTTCTGTTGGTTGCCGATTCACTCTAATGACTGTTTCTTTTGCTGTGCAGAGGCTGTGGAGTTTGATTAGGTCCCATTTGTCTATTTTGGCTTTTGTTGTCAATGCTTTTGGTGTTTTGGTCATGAAGTCCTTGCCTACGCCTATGTCCTGAATGGTTTTGCCTAGATTTTCTTCTAGGGTTTTTATGGTGTTAGGTCTTATGTTTAAGTCTTTAATCCATCTGGAGTTAATTTTAGTGTAAGGTGTCAGGAAGGGGTCCAGTTTCTGCTTTCTGCACATGCCTAGCCAGTTTTCCCAACACCATTTATTAAACAGGGAATCCTTTCCCCATTGCTTGTTTTTGTCTGGTTTGTCAAAGATCAGATGGTTGTAGACATGTTGTGTTGCCTCCGATACCTCTGTTCTGTTCCATTGATCTATATCTCTGTTTTGGTACCAGTACCATGCTGTTTTGATTACTGTAGTCTTGTAGTATAGTTTGAAGTCCAGTAGTGTGATGCCTCCCGCTTTGTTCTTTTTGCTTAGAATTGACTTGGCTATGCGGGCTCTCTTTTGGTTCCATATGAAGTTTAAGGTGGTTTTTTCCTTGTTGAGTTGTTGGAACTTCTTGTAGATTCTGGATACTAACCTTTGTTAGATACATAATTTGCAAATATTTTTTTCTCATTAGGTAGGTTTACTCTCTTGATTGTTTCTTTTGCTGTGTAGAAGGGTTTTAGCTTAACAGAGTCCTGGCTGTTTCTTTTTGTTTGTATTGCATTTGCTTTTGAGGACCTGGTCATAAATTCTTTGCCTAATCCAGGCTGATGTCCAGAAGAATTTTTCCTATATTTTCTTACAGGATTTTTACAGTTTCAGGTCTAAAATATAAATCTTTAATCCTTCTTGAGTTAATTTGTGTATATGGTGAGAGATAGGGGTCCAGTTTATGAGTTTTCCTAACACCATGTATTGAATAGGGTATTCTTTCCCCATTGTTTCATTTTTTCATTGTTGCTGAAGATCAGTTGTTCATAAGTACTTTATTTCTGGGTTTACTACTGTGTTCCATTGGTCTATATGTCTATTTTTATACCAACATCATGATGTTTTCAGTTACTAGAGCCTTGTAGTATAATTCAAAGTCAGATAATGTAATATTTCAAGCTTTGTTCTGTTTGCTTAGGATTGGTTTGGCTATTCAGACTCTTGGTTTCATATGAATTTTAAATTTTTTTAATTATGTGCAAAATGGTGTTGGTAATTTGATAGAGATTAAATTACCTTTAATCTGTAAATTTCTTTGAATCTGTAAATTTCTTTGAGCAGTGCAGTCATTTTAATAATATTGATTCTTTTGATCCATAAGCATGGGATTTTTCATTTGTTTGTGTCATATACCATTTTTTCATCAGTGTTTTGTAGTTCTTCTTGTAGAAATCTTTCACCTCTGTGATTAAATACATTCCCAGGCGTCTAAGTTTTTGTGCCTACTGTAAATGGAATTGAGTTCTTCATTTGGTTCTTTGCCTAAATTATATTGGTGTAGAGAAATGCTACTCTTTTGTACATTGGTTTTGTATCCTGAAACTTTTTTTTTTAATTGCATTTTAGGTTTTGGGGTACATGTGAAGAAATTGCAAGATTGTTGCATAGGTACACACACGGCAGCATGATTTGCTGCATTCTCCCCCTTCACCTGTATCTGGCATTTCTCCCCAACTCCCCACCCACTGCTGTCCCCCCAACAGACCCCATTGTGTGATGTTCCCTTTCCTGTGTCCATGTGTTATCACTGTTCAACACCCGCCTCTGAGTGAGAACATGTGGTGTTTGATTTTCTGTTCTTGTGCCAGTTTGCTGAGAATGATGGTTTCCAGGTTCATCCATGTCCCTACAAAGGACACGAACTCATTGTTTTTGATGGTTGCATAATATTCCATGGTGTATATGTGCCACATTTTCCCTGTCCAGTCTATCTTCAATGGACATTTTGGTTGGTTCCAGGTCTTTGCTATTGTAAACACTGCTGCAATGAACATTTGTGTGCATGTGTCCTTATAGTAGAATGATTTATAATCCTTTGGATATATACCCAGTAATGGGATTGCTGGGTCAAATGGAATTTCTATTTCTAGGCCCTTGAGGAATCACCATACAGTCTTCCACAATGGTTGAACTAATTTACACTCCCACCAACAGTGTAAAAGTGTTCCTATTTCTCCACATCCTCTCCAGCATCTGTTGACTCCAGATTTTGTAATGATAGCCATTCTAACTGGAGTGAGATGGTATCTCAATGTAGTTTTGATTTGCACTTCTCTAATGACCAGTGATGATGAGCATTTTTTCATATGTTTGTTGGCCTCATGTGTGTCTTCTTTTGTAAACTGTCTGTTCATATCCTTTGACCACTTTTGAATGGGCTTGTTTGTTTTTTTCTTGTAAATCTGTTTTAGTTCTTTGTAAATTCTGGATATCAGCCCTTTGTCAGATGGGTAGACTGCAAAATTTTTTCCCATTCCGTTGGGTGCTGATTCACTCTAATGACTTTCTTTTACTGTGCAGAAGCTGTGGAGTTTGATTAGGTCCCATTTGTCTATTTTGGCTTTTGTTGCCAATGCTTTTGGTGATTTGGTCATGAAGTCCTTGCCTATGCCTATGTCCTGAATGGTTTTACCTAGATTTTTTTCTAGGATTTTTATGGTGTTAGGTCTTATGTTTAAGTTTTTAATCCATCTGGAGTTAATTTTAGTATAAGGTGTCAGGAAGGGGTCCAGTTTCTGCTTTCTGCACATGGCTAGCCAGTTTTCCCAACACCATTTATTAAACAGAAAATCCTTTCCCCATTGCTTGTTTTTGTCAGGTTTGTCAAATATCAGATGGTTGTAGATATGTTGTGTCACCTCTGAGGCCTCTGTTCTGTTCCATTGGTCTATAACTGTGTTTAGGTACCAGTACCATGCTGTTTTGATTACTGTAGCCTTGTAGTATAGTTTGAAGTCCAGTAGTGTGATGCCTCCCGCTTTGTTCTTTTTGCTTAGAATTGACTTGGCTATGCACGCTCTCTTTTAGTTCCATATGAAGTTTAAGGTGTTTTTTTCCAGTTCTGTGAAGAAGGTCATTGGTAGCTTGATGGGGATAGCATTGAATCTGTAAATTACTTTGGGCAGTATGGCCATTTTCACGATATTGATTCTTCCTAACCATGAACATGGAATGTTTCTCCATCTGTTTGTGTCATCTCTTATTTCATTGAGCAGTGGCTTGTAGTTCTCCTTGAAAAGGTCCTTTACGTTCCTTGTTAGTTGTATTCTTAGGTATTTTATTCTCTTTGTAGCAATTGTGAATGGCAGTTCGTTCTTGATTTGGCTCTCTTTAAGTCTGTTATTGGTGTTTAGGAATGCTTGTGATTTTTTCACATTGATTTTGTATCCTGAGACTTTGCTGAAGTTGCTTATCAGTTTCAGGAGATTTTGGGCTGAGACAATAGGGTCTTCTAGATATACAATGATGTCATCTGCAAATAGAGATGATTTGACTTCCTCCTTTCCTATTTGAATACGCTTTACTTCTTTTTCTTGCCTGATTGCTCTGCCTAGAACTTCCAGTACTATATTGAATAGGAGTGGTGAGAGAGGGCATCCTTGTCTAGCGCCACATTTCAAAGGCAATGCTTCCAGATTTTGCCCATTCAGTATATTGGCTGTTGGTTTGTCATAAATAGCTTTTATTATTTTGAGATACGTTCTGTCAATACCTAGTTTATTGAGGGTTTTTTGCATAAAGGTCTGTTGAATTTTGTCAAAGGCCT